GCAAGCCACTGGGTTGGATCTTTTGCAAGGTTTTGTCTTTATACTTAAAGGTAGGAGATTTTAAGTTATTTATGAAACACAATCGTTAAGAGGCAGCCTGCTAAATATTTAGTAATGGAAAAACAAAGATCTTAAAGTGCCCAGGTGAAAAGAAACCGCAAGCGTCTATGTCCCTGGATCCAGGATTGGTCACCCCTGGGGTTGGGGCTCATTGGCTATAACTCTGGAGCAGCAGAGGAGCAGTACAGTGAGGAATCACGCATGTCATATCCTGTCAATGGAAGCACAGTATTCATCACACACAAGCCACAATGGACTGCAAATCTAGGTGGTTGATAATTAAGTGGCAGAGCAACCTGAAACAGTGTAATGTGATTGGTAACACAGAGTGTTGCAAACTCCACTAGAATACTAATTCATTAGATTTATTTGCGTCAGTAAGAGAAGCCTGGCAGAATCTATATATACAGTATATTATAAAATGCGACACTTAGAATGAACAATAATCCTCTTTTAATGATTATCCTTGCACACGCGTAACTATTTCAGCAGGTAAAGGAGGATGCGGTAAATCTCGCCTGGGTCCGGTTTAAATGAACAGCGTTGTCAGTGGAACCAAGGCATCTTTATTGCATTGAGGTTTTCGACAGAATGGAATCTTAACTTTTCACCCTCCAGAGTTTGTTTCCTGCAACGCTCCTTCTCGGCGGCGTTGCGAATGTGTTCGTGTCTGCTGCAGAGCTGTTCAGACTTCCTCGAGGAATCAATGCCCTCAGCAGGTCTGCGGCTTTGTCATCATGACAGCCTAATGTCTTGCAAAGTCGCTGTCCAGTCGAATCAGTTTAGTGCAGCCAGTGAACTGCACAGGTCAGGCATAATTCCCACCGTACTCAACTGAACCAGGAGTCCGGAGAGACTGAACAGCAGGAACAACATAATGACAGCTGGCTTGGAAATGCTGCTTGCACTCAACACCTGTGTCATATGTGAACTTTCGCAAGCGAAGGCTCGGCTGTAACTGTATCAAACCAATCACATTTGCTAACAGTAAGCAAACACAAGCTGTAGCAAGCTGACATTTGAGTGTCAGTCAGATTCACACCTTGCGTGGCTGTCACATCAGAATATTTATGTTAAGGCACCGTAAAGTACATATTCCACTTAATAGTTGCACATTGTTGTATTACTTCTCTATCTTTTTTCTAGCGATAATGTTACTGGGTTGTGTATCACACATTACACTGAAGTAATAACATCTATGTGGGTACCCTTATACAGCAAAAACGTGTTTCTTAACAGTTTTTTGTTGGGAGCAATTTAGTTGTTAACCAATCTTGTTTTGCTCCTGGGAATGTATTTCAAATTGCATTAACAAATTTGTTTTGAATGAAGTATGACTGCAAAACAATTTGCTTTGTGACTGCAAATCTAGTGAGGTTGGTAACACGTGGCTAGAGACAGTGTCCACTGCGTAGACATAGCAAGTGGCTCCAAGACAGAGACTGTGGCGAAGTATGATGTGGAGGATTTTAATTGAAGGATTTTAAGGACATTGAGGCTAATTAAAACCTTAAAACTGGCTTTTCATAAAGGCTTAGGTAGTTAGGTTTTTAAAACAATAGCAGAGGCATTGCTCTTCGATTAAGGACAGCATGGAAGTTTCACTAGGCTTGGTCTTCATACATTTTTGTTTGTCCAGGCAAAGATTGTTAATGGATTAAACAGCGTTTCCTGTGATCTAACATTGGAAAGGGAGAAGACTTTCCATTCCAAAACAAGAAGATTCAGATAAGACTATTTTATTCTTTGTGAATGACAGGTATAAACGCACATATTAAAAAGGAATTAGACATCCTTAATTATGCCACTGCAAGCCAGCATTGCTACTTTTTTATTTATTAAAATTCAGCAAAAATCACTGCCGTCCTTTCATGGTTAGAAATAACATTTGCATATACAGTAATTTTCCTTGCTTTTTTGACAAATCTTTCTGAATAATGAAACCTAAACGAGGCCCTCTGGGTGTAATGGCATATTGTGTGTTAAGGAGAATAGACATAGTGTGTAAGACATCTTTTTGCAAGGATATTATAAACAAATATTTGTATATTTAGAAAATATAATAGTTATATAATATAAAAGGCCACTTTCAGATTTAGCTTTAAAAGTGGTTATCATGTGGTAGCTCATTAGGACAACAACATCCATGAACTGAATGCTTTGTGAGTGTCTGGGATACTTGGTGAGATAAGTTTGGCTTAACCCACTTGGTTAGTGAGCAGCCTGCTGCCACAGGACGAGGAGACTTGAACCCCATTCAGAGTGAGTGAAGCACGAAGAGGGGGAGATGGGCTGGAGGAGGGATTCCTGAGACGAATGCGAAGGGATGTGTTTGAGTTCAATATATAGAGCTCATTTCCATCATGACGGGGGTAAATAACAGCTGCGAGAGACTGACTTGTCGTTATCCCTCCCAAACTTCAGTTATTAACTCATGTTTTGTAGAAGGGCCTGTTCAGAGAAATATATCTTTCAAATCGTTCGCCATAGAGAAAAGACATTTGATTTACAGGCAAATGGTATTGTGAGAAGCGTGTTCCCACAGAAAACACTATATTTGGCACTATATTTGCTCAGTGGGAACCATGGTTTGTTCGTGATGGTAATGTCAAGCCCTCAGCTTGTAAGCACTGACATTATCCATGGGAATGTCTTCCCATAGGCCACGTTAAAATACACTCTTGCCTTTTATTGCAAAGGACAAATTGCACAAATTGAAAATAATAAAAAAACGTACAATTTTTCTGCACGTACTTAATAGTGAGTGCAGTTTTCCCAACGCAGCTGTTTGCTCACATTATAAGCATACTGTAGACTTTCCAGAGTCCTGCCACATGACGTGAGATCTGATCATGGCTCTTTGACATGGGGAGGTGCAGACACAAGTGTATCACAAGAGCAGAACAATACTACTTCTCATAGGGAGAAGAAGAGGGATGTTCTGTCTTCCACAGGCACTGCAATAACGAGACACTATTCCATATCAGTGTGCTTATCTTGAAGAATATGAACTGGAAGTGCTCAAGTGGGAACAGTTGAGAGGGTGAGGGGTGCTTTATGTTTTTGTGTTTTTTCAGGTTTTGGCTCAATTTCTTGTTTTCTCCCAGTTTGACTAAACTCTGCTACCAGCTCAGCTATGTGATATGAGGAATATGCCACAATTTCTTCTAGATTAATGAAAGAATCCCTGCACCCTCTTTCATAAAGCTTCACTCTCACTTTTTCTAAAACCTAAAATGTTAAATGCTTTCCTCATTTTATGATTATGTATAGTAAATAGAGACATGGAACCTAATGTTACTCTTATTAAATGATTTCCAAGTAAACCCGAGTGTAGGACAGCAAAGTACAGTGTGTCATTAATGATATTCCCTTGACACTGCAAAACAAATAGCTCATTTCCTGTAGCGCAAACTGATGCGTGAAAGCTCACACAGACTCAAGCAAAACCTTGTAGTGTAAAATGCTATGTGGCATGTGAGATGTTTAAATAGAGTAGTCCTCTTTCAGGAGCACTGACATGCTGCTTTAAAACTCTGCTGCAATTCCTCTGGGGGACCTCCATACAGCTGTCTTTACTCCCTCTGCTGGAGACTTGTATGTGGGACTGATAACAAATGTACTTTCTTTTTCAAGTAATCATAACTTAATCTTATGTATTATTACCATTGAATATACATTTACCTTCACCTGGATTCTTTGCAGAAATATCCAGGTTCTGTTATTATTACAGTTTTGCAAAGGACCATGATTTTTACGTAAGAGGCATTATGAATGATAATATGTATTGACTGTTTTATTCTGTGCATGCACACATTGACCCCTGGAAAATTTGATTTTTCTTAAATATTTTTAAACAGACAAAACATTTTTATCAATAAACCAATAAACTAAAATGAGTCAAAAAATCCAAAGAAAGGAGATTAGTGTCTTGATATTTTCTAAAGCCAGTTTCACCCATGGTATGCAATACACATGATTATGTACACAGTGAATTTTCTACTGTTATATCAAGTTAAAACCTTTAATTTAATTTATGAAAGTGTGTTTAGATTGTGCTTCTGCACTATCCCGAGTGTTTGTAATGTACCAGGACAAATCCATTTTGCAATCTGTTTGGTCTGTCTGGTAGAGTTAACTGGAACTAATGTTTCTTTGTAAGTAAACCAAACTGCTCTGGAACTAGCCTCCTGAACCCACTGTCCATTTTTTTCCTTTTCTGCTTCCTACTACTACAAGAAAAAGTATGATGCTAATCTCTGTGCATTCTTTTAGCATGGCTTGATTTGTTTATAGTTGAAATGCTGTGCACTTTAGGCAGTGGGCCAAGAAAAGTAGCTTTCAAGTTAACAGATCAGACCACAGAATGTTTTAGAAATTACATTATTTCAGAATTGCTCCTTCTGCTGTTGTTTTTCTTTTCTGCTTCACAATCAGGTTATGGTTTGTACCAAAGAAAAGGTTTATTATGTACGCCTGATTCATGAAAAACTAGCACTCAGACAAGCTACACGGGCCAAATGGCCTCCTCGCGTTCGCAATCTTTCTTATGTTCTTGAAAAAAGTATTTCATTGCATTGATTTTCTTTAGTGCCATAGCCGGGAGGAGTATTAAAGTCGGATGGCACTTGGGACTGATTGTGTAGTGATATTATTAATCTAGCAGTTTCTTCAGCCAGGCAGGACCCTAAGGCCCTGAAGTTCATTTTTCAGTCAGGAGCAAATGTGAGTTTGAGTCAAGACAACCCTTCTGTCACGCACACACACACTTAATGGTAACTGCAAGTTCACATCACCCATTCTTCTTTTTGCTTTGAATTTAATGAATCACAAACAAGTCAGGGCAAGGGGAGAATGAATTTCTTCCAGATAATCTATTTCTGTTTTCCTGAAAGGAATGACAGCAGCTGATGTCCAGGGCTGATCTGAACAGACTGGAGTGGGTTCTGGGAAGCCCGGGTCTCACAGGAAGCTGGGTTTGTTTCCACCACCGGCTGAACAAAGGAGAAGGTCCAGTCTCAGTCTCGGTCTTGTGCCTTGCCTCAGGTGAAATGACACCGAGAGCAGATGGAATTCCCCACAAAACCTGCGGACGCAGACAGACTTGAAACGCAGGTGAGGAAATGAGCTCCGCTCTTGTGTACATTGATTCATTTAAAGAAATCAATTCCTCTAAGCTAAAGGGTTGTTCCTGCAAATATTTGTGGGACCACTCTTCCCACGCATCTTTGAGAAGGACAGGCAGAAAGGATTGTAAGTGATTTCACCTCGACTGTTTGTATTCTTGCACCAGCCAGCCAAGAGTGCGAAGACAAGCCTTGCCTCTGCTTACAAAGGTGTCTAACGAGGACGTGCCCAGCTGTCCTCAAGCTAACAAGGAGCGCCGAGGCGTGTGTGCAGTATGTGTGCGTTCAGCTCTTCCCGGAGCTTGCTTCCTGGCCAGGACTTCCACTGCCGAAATGTTAGGAAGCTGTCGTTTTATCACGGCCTGCAGATGTTTCTCTCTGAGTTGCCCCCTGACCCCCACCTCCAGCTTCCTGGAGAAAGACAGAATGCACCCAGCATAACTAGGGTTATCAACGAGACAGCATTATCTCTTATTCATGTCCTGTGTGTGTTCTGCAATGCCCCGTATCCATGTTGCGTTCAGTGTTGGCTCAGGTGAGGAGGAAAGGTTGTGTGTGTGTGTGAGTACATCTGTTTGACTGCTTTGGTGTATGTGGAGTAGGAGGGGCTGGGTGCTCAACTGATCTAAATGAAAGAAGGAAATATGAAATCATTCTTGGCTGAAATTTTTGTTTGTAAAATCCTAGAAACCCTCAATTCCAGAAAGTTCCAATGCTTGTGCTCTCAGTTTTAATTTATACTCACATGATGGAATAGATCTGCACTCTTGCTTTCCATACAGTTCCCAGGAATACACGGAAAACACATTTTGCTCATGACCAGAGGTCAGAGTGCCTTTTCAGTGCTCATTCTTTCCTTATGATCCCAGAGATCAATTGTCATTAATCCGACCACTTTCCAAACAGCAATCTTTATTAATGAGGAAAGCAGCCAAAATTTTATATTTTAAACTTTGAGTAGAAAATAGTCATCCTCTTTTGAAATATTTCAAATTTATATTGAGGTAATAACTCTGTTACTGCCTACATTCATCAGCTTTTAAAAGGTATTAAACAAACTGAGCAGAAATACTTGAACTTTTCAGATCAATTAAGAAACTATATCAGTTCAAAATCCATTGAGAGACAGGAAACTGAAAAGGAAAGGCCTCTGTTAATGAATTTCACTATAGACAGTGTGTCTAGTGTAAGGCAGAGACAGATTTCTGTTTACCAACCCTTTGCTCTCTGATGTTATGAACACAGGGTGAGCAGCGTGCTGTTCATATTAATCAATCATGCCTCCGAACAGCAGGTTAAAAATAAGTGGGAGTGAACCGTCAGACTACAGTATCTCTTGAGACACTAAAACTAACCAAAACTCAAAACACACAGTGGAGTCATGTGGGTGATTCAGGCAAACTCATGTAAAATTCACTCTCAGCCAAAGCACATTTCACAATGGAACTCTGGTTACTACGGCCAGCTCTGTCTGTTGTAAAAACAGCCTGAAAGACTTTGGTGCCGAGGTGACGATTAATGCCTCTGGATCATTTCACAGCAGGAAAAGCAAACACAACCATTTTAGAAAGTGAGACTGAACACGTGAAAGAAGACCACTCTTTGTTCTGAAAGTGCACTGGTCTGAGAGGTTAATAATCTGAGAAATTACTTTGAAAATTAAACTGTTAAATACTGGTTAGAGTTAGGACTGAGGGTTAAATTGTAATTTGTTTAAAATATATACATATATACTTTTAGAATATTGAATTGAATACTGAATTAACAAATCTATCAATACCTGCTGCAACTGCAAATTTAACACGTCTAAAATTTTAGAAATCTAACTGATAATAGCTTTGATGTTGTTTGATGGCGTTGATGTAGTTTGATGGTTAATTAAGACTAATTTTCATTTTGATTTCATTTTTAACCTCAGTTTATAAAACGTTTTCTAAAATGTTGAAATCTACAAACTTAAACACTTGCCAGATATCAAAAACATTTCTCAAACTTTCTTGATGAGACAAATATTAGCTATGGTATGGTATTTACAGCTCTGTTGATACATAGATTTTTTATGAATAGATATTCCCTCTCAGCAGTTCTGTTAAATCGTTTTAAATCTGCTAGCTGCCTCTAAAAACTCCAGTTCCATACTTTCATTAACACGCATTTCAAAGACAATACAGAAATATATCTGAACTTCAGCTGTGTCTTGAAAGGGGATTCTCCATCTTTAGTGCTACTTATGATGCACACAATATGAATCAAGAAAAGTAACAACAGCAACAAAACAACAGCAAACAAATAATAACATCAGCAACAAAACTGAACCACAGTAATATTAATTCTGGACTAAGGGTCCTGTCTTTCCATGTTGGTCTCCCAGTTCAGCTCCGTGACTCTCCCCCAGTGTGCTGTCTGAGACATGGACGTGTATGAGACGTGGGAGTGGTAGTTAAGTTGTCAATCCCTCCTGTTTTATGCATGTGCCTGCAGGACGCAGTGGAGCGTGGTGTATATCCAGAACGGTGTGTTCGGCTGCCCAGTGTTTACTGGGGTCTGTTCCCAGACATCTCGAGACAAGCAGCTGGATGTACTGTATCTGTAAATGTATTAATCATAAAAAAAATTCTGAAAAATCTCAGCAACCTGCCTGAGGTGAAAAGCGGAACAGATAAACCCTTTCTGGCTCATTTGATTTTTTTCTGTTTCTTTAAAGCCCTGATACTTGATGCAGGCTTTCTGAAGGCAAAGCGCTGTTTCTGGGCCAGCCCTCATAGAGCCCATCTCTCTCTCTCTAACGCCTCTGTGACACAAGAGGAGCCAATCACTGTGTAAACAGGTATGCATTTCCATATGGAAAAAGTGAAAAATATGTACAGAGCCACGTTAAATTACAACAGTTTTTTACAGTTAAAAATGCCTTGCCACAATGCTTTTGTTGTGTACTCCTGAATGGTTCACTGTTAGCGGATGAACTCTTTAGCATGAAAGAAGCATCATGGGCTCTTTAAAAACCACATTTTTTTTCTACTTTTTTTTAGACTGCTCCTGCTTACTTGCTTACTCTAAGTACCATGGTTTCCTCCAGACTCTAGTGGTCCTGTGAAACATTCAGTGTCATCTCCAGACATCACCAATTACCTCTCCGAGATCAGCCTGCTCTTTGATGGAGGGCACACGTCCTTCCTGTACTTCAGTAATGATGAGGAATCAACAGTGTCCTCTTCGAGACAATGTGGGGAAGTGCTGTAAAAGGCCATCGAGATGTTATGGTATAGAGAGAAAAGGACAGAGCTTGAATCAAGGGAAGTTATGTTAAGATTATATAATGAACCAGGATCCCATTTATAATATGGTGTTAAATTATGCTCTCCAAGTAACATTTATAAGAGATAAGATCACTTTATTGGCCATATAGAATTTCTTGTATTAGGAACTTGTCTTTGCACATACCCCAGCTTGCTCTCCATGAGACACACAGACAGGGAGAGAAGCTTGGGGTCAGAGTAAAGGGTCAAATATTTATGGAGCACCCCTGGAGCAGCTGGGGTTAAGGGCCTTGCTCAGGGGCCCAACAGAGTAGGATTCCTCTGCCAGCCACAGGATACGAACCAGCAACCTTCCTGTCACAGGAGCAGATCCTTAGCCACAGAGCCACCACACCGTTTCTCAGAGCTCATGTGAATTTAAAGACTGGCTCTTTCCTTAAGGGAATATTATACCCATTGCTAAAGCGACTACATTTCTTTAGTCTTGAATGCAGGAAACTATGGGACAATGCGACACTAGTATAAAAATAATATACAATACTGAAAGGCGTCGATCAGTGAATCAAGGGGACCTCTTTAGGACACATTGTGAATTAGGGCACCTGAGCTGAAGCAGACATGGAGAGGTCATATATTTAGGAACAAGTAAAAGTTTATTCCATGCTGAAAAGAGAAGAAAAGAAACACAGCATTTCAGCTGTGGAGCCTTCTTCAGATGTGAGAGAGAGGGGAAAGTCGGCAGCCGATAAAGTGTGTCATATATTTAGGACTGGAAACAGGTCACAAAAGGTGATGAGTGGCTGACAAAAGATACTTCCAGATCAAGCTGATAGCTCAGATCATTTAAATACCAGTTACCAAATCGGCTGCTGACGCCTGCACTTGCCTGTGCTTGTATGCAGTGCTTTACAGGATAAATGCCATTTCCCATTGCCAGAGAGGAATATCCAACCTCTGTGCTGACACAGCTGCATATCATGGCCTAAGAACATGTCACCTGTTAAAACATAAATAAAAAATGAAAAGTAATCAAGTAAATAAAAAGTGAATAAATAAAAAAAGTAATGCCTACGATAAAAATATCTTTCCTTGCTTGAAAAAGGCGGTGATGGACTATTGAGACTCCAGAACCTTTTGGATGTTGTGATTTGAACATTTTGGGGAACAGATATAAGATCGTGCAAGGGCATGGTGTAGTTGCTAAGCAACACTAGACTAGTGCTGTTGCCCTGCCATTCCCTGTGGCAGAGAAAGGGGCTTATTTTAATTCACCAAAGTGGATAGATACATTTCAAAAGAGCCTCCGCCATTCATTTTGATTACCAAAATACCAACTGTGTCAGATTATTGTTTTTTAGTTGGTAGCCGAACCTGTGTCAGTGGTTAGGTAACGTTTTATGGAGAAAAATCAATCCCCACAGAAACCTGAGAGACAGAGCAGCATTATTATTGTTGCTTGTATGTTTTAAACAAAGAGTTAGAAAAGTATGAGAAAATAATACCCCTTTGTCCATTTTATTGATCGAAAAGTATTTGTTTTGTGTATGCAGGGAAATAATTGTACCTTTACTGCTTTCATTCTGCTGTGTTTGCCTGTAACTTTACAATTTCTAAAAAAAGGATGAATGGAGAAGGGTGCTTTATTTTTACGCGAATGCAGATTAGGGGCCATGCAAAATGGATCAGGTTGCTTTTCATATTAAGAACGTTTAATGGCCTCCTAATAACCCCCCTCTCTGAACTGGCTTCATTACTCTGCTCTCCTCCCCACTGAGAGCTGGTGTGTGGGGAGCGTTCTGGTTACAGTATGGCTGCCGTCACATCATCCAGGTGGGGCTGCACACTGGTGGTGGTGGAGGGGATTTTCATGACCTGTAAAGCGCTTTGAGTGGAGTGTCCAGAAGAGCGCTATATAAGTGCAAGCAATTATCATTAGTATTATTATTATTATTGTTATTATTGTTTGAAAGCCAGTGAGATAACTTCTTTTGATGGGACAATTAATGCTTATTATGCTCAGACTTTAATAATCAGCACAGTCTTGGTAAATGAAGCATAAATGTGATCTTCTTTAGAAAATCAGAAGACACTGTCTTATTATTGATTTTCCTCCTTACTTGCCTTGTGGTATCAAGTATCCCTGATTATTGCAGAGGACAGTGTGGTTCCCAATGGGATAGTCTTGATGGGGTCTCTGGTCTCCAAACCAGGAGGTCATGAGTTCAGATTCTACATAGGTCACTTCTGTAGTACTCCTGAGCAAAGAACCACCTTCAAATAGCTCTAGAAAATGTCCTTCTGCATAAACGGTGGGTTATACCAGTGGGTTATGGTTTTATGCGAGAATATGGTCATTCTTTATTCGGGTTGAATAACTTCAGTCTAAATTGAAAATCCTGGGGGTGATATTTAATTCAGGCTTGACGTTTCCACATGTGCAACCTATTGTCAAAACATAATTCTTTCACCTCAAAAATATCACGAGACAACGTTCTATGTAATCGCTACCTGTGGGTGAGAAGCTGATCAACACATTTGTCTTCTCCCAAATTCACTACTGTAATGTTCTACTGACTGGGGTTTCTAAATCCACATTGAACAAACTCCAGTTTGTCCAAAATTTGGTAGCCAGAATCCTGACCAGGTCTAGTGCAAGTGATCACATTACTCCTATCCTGGAGTCCTTGCACTGGCTTCCTGTCAGGTTTCATGTCGACTTCAAAATCCTTCTGCTCACCTATCAGGCTCTGCGTGGCCTCGGTACCTCAATACCTGTCTGAGCTATTATCGCCCTACTCCCCATCTTGCAACCTTCGCTCCTCTAATTCTGGTCTCCTATCTGTCCCACAAACAATGTCTACACTCTATGGGCGACCAGGCCTTCTCCTGTTATGCCCCAAACCTCTGGATCTCTCTCCCCAAGGATATCAGAGAGCCACCTTCTCTAAACACCTTCAAATCCAGACTCAAAACCTTCTCCTTTAGAAGGGCCTTTACTGAACTGGTTCTGTTCTTTACCCCTCTGCTCCTGTACTCAGTTCCCCCATCTGCCATCTCCTCTCACTGTGTATTCTGTTTGTGCATATGTTGTATTTTTTTTATTGTTGTTATTGTCGTTCTGTAAAGGGCTTTGGGGGGCCACCTTTAAAGGTGCTATATAAAATCAAGTTTATTATTGTAATAAAGGATTTTAAAGGGTCTAAAATGTAAAAATTGATAATAAGGGAAGAAGATGTCCGGTCATGGTTGAGGTACTGGAGAGTTACGCCGAAAGAGGTTGTTGTAGAAAGTTCCCATATTGACACGTTGTCCCATCCCTATCGGACCTTGTTTTGTTTGGAATGACAGACCACACTGCAAACCAAAGCAGCACCGAGTGTTTTCACCCTGGGACTCTTAAATGAGCATTCTGAGAAATATTTGCGATCTCTTACAAGATAAATCATTTTTTCCTTCTTAAAACTTGTAAGTGTCAGCTGAATGTGATGTCAAATGTTCTGTACGTATTGCTTATGCAGTGTTTTTCATTTTTGACTGAGCGTCTCTGGGGTCTGAGTACCTCTCTGTGACATACATGGCTAATTGATTGTTTTCATGGAGGCCGGGATCTCTGTATTTGTACATGCTGGGTTTTAATCTCTAAATTGTACTTGTTTGTGTTTGTTTTACCTGATAAACACTACCTGAATACTCACACTACACACTGTCACACTACATTCATTGTACCATGTTTACACACGCATGGGACACAGCTGTAAAACAATGGTTAATATTCGAAGTCTTGTAATATAGTGATTTTTCCTATTTTAAGTATAGAAATGTACTGACTGGATTCAAGTACAGGTCATATTTGAGTTAGGTGGGTGAAGAAATACAATCGGTAACTCTAGTGACTGAAAAACACAACGCCCAAAATTATTGTTACTTTGTTTATTGGTGAATTCATCTTAACACAATAATGTGGGCAGCTTAGCTTTCAACCATGTGATATCACTGCCTACTTTCTAGCTTTTACAAGGTTGGTAAGAAATAGACCTAAGATGCAGCAGAATGTAATCCTGTTTTTAGTTCTGCAGCAGAAGATTATAGCATCACAACTTATTGTTTCTCTCACTCCTCTCTCAATCATGAAGTTATATACAGATAAAAAAACAAGAAAGAAAACTGAAAGGGTAATGTTATTTGGAACTTAGAATTATTGTTTAGAAGCTGAATTGTTACAGTTGTTCTTTCAATCGGTTGCAAACTCTGCCCAAAGTCTGATATAACAGCAAGCAAAAAAAAAGTGTGTTCTCAGTCACATATTGCAGTTTTCTTTTGTAAAGCATGTCGGGGGTCAAAAATATTTAAAAAAATGTGATTGCTTTGATGTACCTGTATCTTTCAAAAGCAGTTCTCCTCTCAGTGTGATTTTTTTTCCCCCCATTTCATTTCAGTAGTACAGGCTGTACTGCTTGACTTAGATGTCTCTATTCACTGCTGCTGAAGTAGTTTTAAAAATCAGCCATTAGGAACCAAAGTAATTGAGTATGAAAAAACTGAATGCATCTCTCATCTTATCTTTCAAATAGCTATCACTAGACTTCATTTTAGTGTCAATTAATAAAGAACTACAATATGATTACATTTACAGTGCCTAGAACTTAGAAATGAGCTAGTGGTCCATTTTAATGAGAGGAGAAAGCAGTGGGCAGATTGTTCTGTGAAACACCCTGAAGAGTTTATTTCAATTTCAATAGGGACAACAACTTCCAAAAATGAGATGCTTTGTGGATGTCTGCAGTACTTGGTGAGATAAAGGTTTGGCTTCACGCACATGGTTAGTGGGCAGCCTCCTGCCACAGAGCGAGGAGGCTCGAACCCCTTTCAGAGTGAGTGAACCCAGGGGCAGCTGCCCAGGTGGAGATGGGGTGGAGGAGGGAAGCTTGAGACGAATGTGAAGGAAGACGTTTGTCGTTTATGTTCGATGTACAGTATATAGCTAATTTCATAACAATGGTGATTAGGTCCAGTTGTGTCTGATT